TTAGAGCTGAGAAAATCAAGCCCAGAAAGATTAAGTGACCTGTCCACTGTCTTAGTGGAAGAGATGCATTAAAATAAAGTTCTTCTGATTCTTGCCTCACATTTTCCATTTAAAACACAGCTCCATGGTTTTCCATGAAATTAAATAATATTGACACATAAGGACAGAACAAACAATTTATCCTTTCATCATAAGAAAATGGTAAATACAGTACTTAGATGTTTAAAAATTAATAGTTCACAGGCAAAATATCCTAAATTTAACCACTCAACACAGATTTTGTGTTTGTCTCATGAACATGGTTTATATATCATATATTTATAGTTATATATTTGAAGCAAACAAATTATATTTCTTCACAGTGTTAATTACTTACTTTCCTCTACCTTGTTCATATTATTTATGTTATCTGAAGTGGTCTTCACTAGTGTCACCTTAATGCATGACGTAATGAGATTATCAGTTTAGCTAGCTTTAACGATGGTACAAAAGGAGGGCAGAGCCCCAGAAAGCCTAGTAGTAGGGACTCTGGTCATCTATGTGGTCAACTACTTGAATTATTATGACTACTTAATGTGAGAGCAATACTTAAAAGAAGAATTTTGTCCAACAAAATAAAAGCCAGATCCATATGATCAATTATCTTTCCATTTGAAATCAGTACCAAAATTAAACAAACAAAATATTGTGAGGAATACATAGGCATTCTTCAGTGAAAGAATGGAGGAGAATGCTTACCAAGACCGTTAGATTGGTGAAACAATCTTGGCTCTCCAATGACAATATTCACAGTTTTGCCCAGGAACAGCTCTCATGGCTAAGTAATGAGAGCACATCATGGACTATCACTTCTCAATATCATGGGCCTTCATAATTTAGCGAAGAAATAAAGGTCTTTTTCCTCACAAAAAGAGGGAAGAGATCTTCTGAGACTCAGTTTATCACTTAATTTGGCTGACCCATCCATTCTTACAGGTAGCAAGAGTAAGTCAATTTTCACTGCCATTATTCTGTGGGCCCAAAAGAGAGGGAGAGATCAATAGAAGATAGAAACAGGAATCCTTGAGTGACATCAGGAACTAAAAAATATCCTTCCAAGGAGGATGCTTATGCCAGGGTTGAGCATACAAAGCAATTCTGAAATGTCAACAAAGGTTAAACTTCCTGATGATTAGAAGAGAACTTACTTTTCTCAAAAGTGACTAATATTGGTTTGTGTTTTAATCCTAAATCATCAGATGATTAGCCTTCCTTCTTCTGACATCCCTTTAAGAAATTTTAGATGTGCTTAAATCCTCTATTTACCAGAACAACTTCATCCACTGTGGTAATTATGGAGCACTTTTCCATTTCAGAATATTCTATGTATGGAATACTCTTCTATATACTGTCAGTATACAGAAAAATAGAATACACTAGCTCATAGAAAGTATCTGCCAGATGAGCTGCAACTCTTCATTGCATTCTCTTTAATGTAGTGAATAAATGACCTCATAAGGCAGGGTAAGCTCTTACAAGAAAAATGTCAGTGATGTTCATTAGTAAGTGAGAACACAATTAGAAAAACTTGCTACTAATAGTGTGAACACACTCTTCTGTTACAAAATGTCCCATTAACACATCTGAAATTCTCAAATTCAACTCTTCCAATATTTTAAATGAAGTCTGATGTGTCTGGGTAACTTTTAGCAAATACACTGACTTATTTTTTTTAATATATTTTATTGAATTTTTACAGAGAGGAAGGGAGAAGGATAGAGAGTTAGAAACATCGATGAGAGAGAAGCATCAATCAGCTGCCTCCTGCACACCCCCTACTGGGGATGTGCCTGCAACCAAGGTACATGCCCTTGACTGGAATCGAACCTGGGACCCTTCAGTCCCCAGGCCGACGCTCTATCCAGTGAGCCAAACCAGCCAGAGCTGGACTTATTTTTTATAGCTTATATACTATCTTCAGCGAACAATCATCTATTAATATTTGCATTGGGGCTCTTTTAGAAAAATAAAAGTCATGAATCAGAAAATTATTGTTCTCCACGGTCTCAATTTAGGCTGAGCTTTAAATTAACATCTTCATAAAGTTATGAAAGACCCATATTTAGGTGCTATTCTTTGACTGACTTGGGACTATAGGTGAATGAGTGTGTCCTTCACTCAAGCTGTGGAGTTATTTCTGAAATGACAGTACTAAGTATCATAAGGGACATTGTGAAGTTGAAGAAGTTCTTAACTATTTAATCAGTATTCAAAATGCCCCAAACGATTTCATGATATCCAAGTAAAATGAGTACATGTATATTATTTTCTTGAAGCATTATTAAATCAATAAAACATTAAACATGGATGCATATATAATGAGTGGGTGTTAGAAAGCAAATATTAAACATACGTAGTTTAAACCAATAAGGAATTTCTCTGGAAAGAATAAACAATGTGACTGGGGAGTAGGAGGGAAGTGGGAAGAAAGGGCAGATGAAAGCTTCCCTGTTTAATTGTATATAAATTGTGTTCAGAGACAGACAAATGCTCTCTATGCCCAAATTATGTAGTTTATCCCAAGTGTGCAGGCTCCTTTGCTCAGCAACACTGATAAGGACACTAATAGTTTAATTACAACTTGCTGCTCAAGAAGATAAACAAAGCTGTTTGCTTTTTAAGCCGGGGGTTACAATTACTTTAAACATCAGGGACAGACACATCTGCAAGTAGAGTTTACTATGTCAGGAAACCACAGAACGCAGCTGGAAAATAAAGCCCCAGGAGTGAGCAGCCAGCGCAAAATTAGAGCAAAACCGCCTGATTTGAGCAGTGGAGTAGTAGGCGTGAGGCATAGTAAACAGACGACAAACGTTAAGTGGGCAGGGATAGGAAAGTTTTAGGTGCCAGATCATCTGCATTTTCAAGGGGATTCCATCACAGAGACTGAGCACCCCTCCCTCCGCTGTCAAGCTTACAATAAACTCACAGTCACGAAGTCCTCTTCAGCACCACCGAGGAAGGACAGCTCCCTTAAACTAAGACCCAGCAGGGACTGCCCTCCCTCCTTTATTACCTTACCATGCTCTCCACTGAATTTCTCTTTTGCTGGTGTCCTTCCGGACACTTTGCTTTTAGTGGTATTCTAAGGGACATATGAAAACGACTGGGAGCTTGTTTGGCTTTTTTTTTGCTTCAGGCGAAAGGGAGACACATCCTTTCAGAAAAATCCATTCTTTTAATTGGCCACTAGAGAAATTTAACCAGAATAAAAGATTGCAAGTCACTGGGTTTAATCTGGTGGCAAAATGGTTTCAGTAAGTCAGTGGTAGCCAAAGACACTAAGGCAATATACCAGAGTGTGATAGTAAAGGAGTCAACAGAATAAGTCCTAATATCACTGGGTGGGAAAGTAATCTTGGTCTTGAAAGAAACTCTTGCCAGTCCTTTTCAAGACCCTTCACAACCCTATCCTTAATCTGGAACATACAACTAGAGGATTAACAGTTGCACAGTGAGACCTTTGGCTGTACAGCACACCACAAAAACTGCCAAAACTTCCCCCAATAAAGGTCCCTTTCCCCCCAGCCCCAATCCAGACGCACACAGCTCAGGAGCAACAAGGAAACATTTGATTAGAAAACCAAAATCACCAAGACAAGAAAATTACACTTTAAGTAACTTGTCTACTTTGGCACTTCCAGTTACCATCCTTCCAGTCATAAAGATATTGTTGCTGAGCGAGCACATCTTATTTCTCTATGCAGAGTTTCTTTCTTTCTTTTTTTTTTTTTGGTCCAAAATTCTTGATAGTATGTAAAATATTCATAATTTGAAGGTCCTCTTTGCTACAACAGAGTGTGTGAGCAGGCGCGCACACACACTTTGATTCAGTTCCATTTTAAAGGGTTTAGTTTCCTAGATAAAAGGTATCATCTGGTTTTTAAACTTTCTTTGAAGGAGGGTCTTCAGGGAAATGCCCTCCTTTTGCATGGAGTTACTGGAATACTAAGGGACTCTAGAAAGGAAGAGACACAGCTAGGGTGGACGCTTAGCAGTCATTCAGAAAGGCAGCACTCTGAAGTTGGTGGAGAACAGCTTCTTCCCAGTGATAGTGACCACAGACTAGTAAAGGGGTGGGGGAGGGGTGTCTGCCTGTGACTCTGGAGCAGTAGCAGCAGTGGGGTCAGCAGACACTGGGTGCTTCTCAGGCAACCCTGAGAGATCTCAACAGAAGCAAGTTGACTCTCTGAATCCCTTAGTCCTCTCTATTGCTTTATTTCTTCCTTCCTTCCCTTTCTTCTTTCCTTCTCTCCCTCCGCTACCTCAATTACCCTTTTCACTTAATTCCATCTGAGTCACTTTGGGCCCCAGTTCCAGTGACACCCAGTCAAATCACCTAACCTGTCCCCTGCAGACCATGACATTATTATGATGATCACAATGGTTGCTTGCCAACTGCTTGGTGCAAGGAAAAAGTCCTGTTCCCAGCTGTCAACCACGCCCCCTGTCCGCACTCCAACACCACAGCAGTGGTACCAACCTGGCAAAATCACCAGAGTCTGAATGTCACCAGCAAGTTCCACCCACCCTGGAGTAGCCCTGCCAGCGAACCTCACCAGCAGAGCCCACACCAGCGCACTGGCATCCTGACCCAGCTCTAGGTTATAACTACGGTCATTGTTATCAGTGACAGCACTCTTCACGGAAAGGGGAACCCCGCGGGTGACTCCTGGGCCAATGTAGGGCTCCACGCACTACCCTTCCCACCTCTGCAGCGCACGCGCGCGCGTGCCGCTCCCCCCCCCACACACACACACCCTCCTCGCACCAGCACCAGCGACACAAAGAGAGGGAGTGAGCGAGCCGGTTCTGGGCTGGGCTGGGCAGAAAGGGGGCAGAAGGGAGGGCATTGCCAGGAGCGGACACCGGAGGAGGGCAGGGGGCTGAGCCAGCCGGTGGGGAGGAAGGTAGAAAGGGGAGCTTGGTGGGGAGAGAGCAGGCTGGAGGGTCGTCCTTACCTGCCCCCAGGTTAAAGGAAATCCTGGCCTCCGCGAGGTACGGCGTGTCACTCTTGGAGCGGACTCTCCTGATGGGCCGCCGGTCTATATCATCCTCCGAAGATGCCGCCATTAAGGTGGGAGGCAGGAGCAGGGTCGCCCGGCGAGCTGAGAGGGAGAAGGAGAAGGAGAAGAGAGAGGGAGAGAGGCGGAAAGGGGAGGAGGGGAAAGGAAGAGGCTCACACCCGGAGGGGGAGGGGAGAGGGGGGATGGGAGAGGAAGGGAAAGGGGATGGGGAGGAAAGGGGGAAAAGAGGGGGAAAGGAAGAAAGAAGGAGAGAGAAAGAAAGAGAGCAAAGGAGAGAAAAGGGTGAGGGGAGAGAAAGAAAATCCGTTAAGGATTTGTGGACTGGAGCAGAGATCAGGCAGGCTGCCTCTGGCTGGCGCCCAGGGCTCCCCCTAACTCTTCTCCCAGCCTGGACCAACGGGCGAGTGCTGGGGACTGACACCCTGCCTCCTGCCCGCAGCCAATTCCCAGCTCTTGGCACAGACAGGCTGATGCGAAAGAGAAGACTCCAAAGCAAAGATGCTCAGTCAGCACCATGCCCTCTCCCGCCAAATGCACTTACTCTGCTCTTCAAGCTACACCAGGGTCTCCTTAACCCACAGGAGTCTCCAGCCAGAGGTACCTGCCTCAGCTTTCCTTGCATGGACTTCTTACTACTAGGGTGTAAGCCCAGGCCCCATTGGCCATGGAGGAGAGCATTGCACCCAGGGTACCCCTCTGCTTCCTCTTTCCCAACCCAGAGCTCAAATAGAGATGAAGTCAGATCAGGAAATTCTCAGATGCTCCCTTGAGCCCTGGAGTAGGAAAGAAAGGAAAAGTATGTACAACTTTAAGAGCAGTTTGGCAGGAAACTTTCTAGAGTTGACGTTTTGAATGTGGAATAGGCATATTCACACAGAACTGAGTGGCTCTTTTTTATAACCATGATTTTCTATGATGTGTTTATCTTTACATAAATATCTGTTCGTTTAACCTTCAACTTTATCTTTATTTGGTGATTTCAGGCACAGATAACAGTCTTTGTATTGCACCTGTGGTCTCTATAACCCCATACCGTTATTTCTGAAGGCGAGGGGAAGATCAAGGGCACTTTACATTTCTTTGAATGTGTGCACGGCTACCTTCACATGTTACCCAGCAGAAGGACCTGGAAAGGTTTCTGGAGTATGAATCATAATGGTTTGATGCTCCTACAGAAGCTATTGATGGGCTTAACTCTTTTATGTCTGACTTTCTGCAGCTTCAGTCACTTGGTCTTTTTGTGGCCTGATGTTCTTTCTAATAAGAGACCACCTGGGGTACATGGATAAATGTTACCTTGATTATCTCCCTGCTACAGAGGAAATCTCAGTGTAAGGTCATGCCCTCCGGTGTCAGAGGAGGAAGTGCTGCTCTGACTCTGCAAGACTTCCTCTCCCCTTCAGCTGTCCATTCTTACGCACATCTTGTACTCTTGAACCCTAGGATCTTCAGTCCCTCTTCTTTGGTCTCTTACTTCACACACAGGTAGTAACTCTACATCTTAGGAAAACTATATCTGCCCTTGTCCTTACTGTTTCTCAGACTCTACCATACTCTTTCCCTCCCATTCTGTTTAACTTTCCTGTGGAACTCTTGGCCCCATAGGCTCCATTATTTTCTTTTAAAAAAAATTTCTTTATTGATTAAGGCAGTGGTCGGCAAACCGTGGCTCGCGAGCCACATGTGGCTCGCGAGCCACATGTGGCTCGCGAGCCACATGTGGCTCGCGAGCCACATGTGGCTCGCGAGCCACATGTGGCTCGCGAGCCACATGTGGCTCGCGAGCCACATGTGGCTCGCGAGCCACATGTGGCTCGCGAGCCACATGTGGCTCGCGAGCCACATGTGGCTCGCGAGCCACATGTGGCTCGCGAGCCACATGTGGCTCGCGAGCCACGGTTTGCCGACCACTGGATTAAGGTATTACATATGTGTCTTTATCCCTCCATCGTCCTCCCCACTCCACTCATGCCCCCCCCACCATTGTCTGTGTCCAAACAAGCTCTCAAGGCTCCATTATTTTCACTCTCAGTTCCCTCCTTTCATCTTTATAACTGGTTTCTATCCCCACCTCCCAATCACAGTTATTTTAAAGGTCATTAATACCCTCCTAACAGTTAAATCCATTTCTTTCTTGGCCTCTTTAAAGTATGTAGTAATCTATCTGTTTTGAAATAATCTCCTCTGGTCTTTCTGTACTAAACTAACTCCCTAACAACTTGATTTCTAATTATCAGCCAGTTCTCTGTGTGTTGATTTAAAATGACCTATACTGGCATTTGAGACCCTTCACAATCTGGTTTCAACCTGCTTTTCCAAATTTATCTATTTTTTACTTCCAGTCTGCTTGGAGTTGTCCTAACAAGTTTGGCTTATTTATGCATTTGTACCTTTGCTTGTTTTTACAACACACATTTCTTTCCTACAAACTTGCCATGTTCTCCCTCAGGAATATAAGATAAATGACTCAGTAGTCTATGGCATGAACCCAGTACACAGTAAATACTCAATAGATATACTATATAGTAAAAAGCTAATGTGCAAATTGTCCCCTCGGGTGGTCGTTTGACCTGGAGTTCTACCAGGAGTTCAACTGCTTGCTATGATGTGCGCTGACCACCAGGGGGCAGCACAGAACATGTCAGGCTTCAGTGATGCAGCGCTGGCAGTGGGCGGCAGTGGAGGCACTGCCAGCCCCAGTAGGCCCCAACAAGAGCGGGACCACGGCGGGATGATGGAGCAGGTGAGTGGGCAGTGCCAGGGTATGAGTGGAGACCCAGGTGCTTCCCAGGGCCCAGAGGTCAGTTAGGACCTGCCCTTCCACGCCAGATGCTCACACTTCAATCGTGGCCAGGCCTAGGGACTGCACCCATGCACGAATTCTGTGCACTAGGCCTCTAGTTTTTGAATAAAAGAAGAGAGGAGAGGGAAAGAGGAGGGGAAGGAGAAAGCAGAAAAGAGAAAAAAAGACTGAATGAGGGTTACTAACTAAAGAGTAGCTGAATTGGGGGCCAAATCCATGTCTGTTTCATTTCAAATCATGTGTCCTTAACCAGTATATTGACCTGCTAAATATCTATATTTGGCTTATTAGCCACATTTTAAGTTCACTTTTCTGTGACACTTGCCTCATTATTATGTCCCATTTATCTTTGTAAAACATAGATTAAAAATGGATGCCTCCTGTCCCAGGAGGCACAAGGGGGCATTTGGCTCATCAAATGAACCATGACTAATCAGGCTGCAAACCAATATTATGATTGTAACATTTATGCTCAGGCTGGTAAGGAGGTGCAAAAGTAAGGAAAAAATGCAAACAATTCTGAATACTGTATAAACTATCCCTCTCTTTGAATTAATGCAGTGCTATTTGGTTGTTTAAAATGTTTGGGATTCCCCACCTCCTTGTCTGTTCACTCATCAGCCATGCCTCTAAAATCAATAAAGTCATTTGAAGGAATCCCTGGGCTAGCTTTCCCTGTGTTTCTTTGATTTTACATATTAATGATTCTTGATACAGAGAAGTACATCTTTGGATTTCTATTTTTATTTGCTCAACATTTTAGAGGACTAGGAAGCTAATATTATCACTACCACTTTAGGTTTACCTTTCTTAGAGAAATTTAAATGCACTTTTATATTATTTCATTATGAGCTATTTTATTATTGATATAATTATAGATAGATATGTTCTTTACAAAAAATAATACAAAACACTAATCTATCTTCATGTTCTTTTATTATTGTATCTTATTTTCAATTTTGACTCTAATCTTCTATTTTTTGGTTTTCCTAATTTACTCTCACCTTTGTCTCACTTAATATTTCCCATTCTCTTTTCACTTTTCCTTTCTTTTGTCACATCTCTCTTAGTTCTTTCTAACAATTCCTTTCCAAATTCAGTCCCATTTAATTTATCTCCCTCTATATGAAGTATTTACTTTTGTGGGCTTGTCCCAATGTTTCCACATTCTTTATTCGCTGGGATTCCTATCATATACATAATCTAGCATCATAAAATATTTGACTGAGTGGCATCAGGGAAGAGTCTGAGGTGGAAATCAGGGATGGTGGGTGCTGCCCCCAGTACTACCGCCACCATCAATTAACATTGGACAACCTACTCTACCAGGATGGGTCTCAGTCACCTCAGCTATAAAACTTTAAGGGTAATCCCAAGCCAGTGTTGCTCAGTGGTTGAGCATCAATCCAGAAACCAAGAGGTTACCCATTCCAACCCAGGGCAAATGCCTGGGTTGTAGGCTCAATCCCCAGTAGGGGGCGTGCAGTGGATCAATAATGTTACTCTCTCATCGATGTTTCTATCTCTCTATCCCTCTCCCTTCCTCTCTCTCTAAAAAATCAATAAAAACATATAAAAATGCAAGGATCAAATAAACAATTTTAAGACCCTACCAAGTCTTAATACTCCATGAATATTTGCAGGTATTCTTCTAACTCTATCAGTGTCTATAGCACATATTCTCTTTTAATCTAAGAAAATACACTGTTCCTTTGATTTATAACTAATCATATTGAGGAAAACACATGGTATCCATACTTCTTTCAAGTAATTTTATATTATTTGTCTATTTTAGGTAATGGTACATCCTTTAGAATCTATTTTTTTTCTCATACCATTTCTATTATGAGGCAACACAAATAGAATTATTTGTGTGTGTACATGTGTGGATGTGGGTGTGTGTATAGAAAGAATGGAATTCAATTGTGACCACAACAACTGCAAAATATAGTGGGTGTTTGTTTTCTTCATTTTAAAGATTGCTTCTTTTTAAATATACTTGCTGACTCAGGGGCTTTTTTATCTTTTTCTTTTATAAAGCTGATCAACTTCTTAACACTGAAGACCCTGACATGCAAGTTATAACCACAGCTAGATCCCAGAGAAAGAGAAGCAGCATAATAGAGTGCTCAACAAATAACATGTTATACATCCACCACTGGCATAGAAGAGGGTGGAGGTGGGAAGGACAGGAAGGAGGAAGACTGCACTATTCCATCCTCGTCAAGAACTCTTTATTTAGATGAGTGAAGCGTATCCTTTAAAATATTATTTAAAG